ATCGGGTTCTTTGCGTGACCGTGTTCTCGTCCAAAATTTCGGAATTTTCCCGTTGACATCGCAACACGGTAGCTAAATTATAACGGCAAAAAATTAATTACGCCATTTGCATAAACGCGTCAGCGTCTTCGTCGACCAGGGTAATTATTCGCGCTCGTGCTCGATGGCTTCACGTGCTTTTGAGCGATTTCCATCGATTACATCAATTATATTGGACGAGGTTATAAAAAAAATCAACGTTGATTAATACTTATTTCGTGGAAAAAATATTTTCACCCACGTCTTGTTATACATTTTTTAATCGCATCCTGCTTTTAATTCTTTTTTATTAAAGACCTATTAATAAGGATCCATTAACAACCCCATTGCGTGATTGTAATAAAAATTCCTCGGTGTATAAACTGAAGTCGACCACACAGCAGATGTCGCATTCATTAAATTTAGTTATTTCACAATAACTTTACTACCGTCGTTGACTCCGCTACGCGTGTGGAGGTAATTCTAATAATTACAAGTGGAGTTATGATCGCAACCGGGAGGTGTAGAAAGTGAGGATGTTCTGAAGATTCAACCTGTTTTTACTATTAATAAATAATTCGGTGATGGCCACTTAGCGTCTACCCAATTTGTAGCGATTAATATTTAAAATTTAACCTCGCAATAAAACCAAATTGTTAACGAGCGGCGGTGGCGGCATCGCGACAGAATACGTCGCGGGAAATTTCTCAGCAAACGCGTCCTTAACAGGAATTGGTTCCTTCGCGCAACCGTTCAACAAGATATCCAATATAGATAAGCCGATTAATTGATTCAATTATTTATCAGCCCCGTATTTTGTTTCGATCGAAGGCGTGCGAGCACCAACCAACAGTTTTAACGTACGACCGAGTTGGTTTATTGGGCAAATTTATGCCGTTTCCAATGAATACGTTTATATTTCATACGGCGTGCTAATTGACTGGAACGCGGCCACTCGAGACCCCCCAATCGTGAGTTATTGATAATATTTGTAAGACCTTATAAATGAACCTTGATTAAAACTTGGCCCCGATGTGTTACACATAAAATATTTATTATAAATCAAGCTCATAAATTTTATTTTACGACATAACCATATTTAGGAGAAAGTTTTTAGCTTCGTTTAATCACATCACTAAATCAATTTCAAAAAAATACCTAATCATTTTATTCTACATAAGTCATAAGTTATAAGCTAAAAGTTCGTTACATGAAATATTTTTAATTTGGGCTTTAAACTGTTTAAATTCACATTTTATTGGACACAAATTCGGACTAAACTCGAAACTTTCTCGTCTTAGGTCTAGTGTTAGTTCTAATTACTAGCAATAAAGCAGATCTTAAATAGACTGACTCGGCCGCAAGCGATCGAGACGTTACATTTGAGACTGACAACCATAAATTGCGATAAGCTACGCACCAAATACTATACATTATGTTCCCGGATCGAGTTACAAAGAGGAAAAAAAATTTTATTACTGATTTTTCAAACTTATCTCAGCATAAATAATGCATCGGTTATGTTTATCTATCGGATAACATTTATCTATTAGTTAACTGCGAAACGACTTTTACCATTTCGATCTAACTAATGGATAGGCTATCTAGTAGTTAACGTAAAAATCTAGGGGAATATTATAATGACTGTTGGTGATTACGTGTAAAAGAGGTATTACAGGTTTCTATCTCCTTTGTCCGTCGGTAATGGTCGGTAATTCGTGGGTAATTCTCATAAACCTGTCAGTTCTGTTAGTGGCAATTAACGATCACGAAAAAATAAAAACCGCAAATCTGGCCGAAAAGCGTATTCGAGGGGCAAATTTTAAACCTGAAGAAATAACACTTTTACTTGACTTGGTGGCGGATCATAAAAATGTCTTCGAAAATAAAAATAGCCACGTGGAAGTGGTTAGTACGTGGAAAATAACGTTTGGGTTTTGCAAACAACAAGGAAAAGTAAAAGTACGATCAAAATACTAACTAACCTACTATGTATTTATAAAAAATTGATCTGCTTTATATGGTGTAGTATCCAATAAAGCTGTCGACGATACCTATAATGAGTTATTAAAGAAAAGATTAGAGTTAACAACATTAATGTTAGAAAATGAGAAGGAAAGAGATGGAAGTGATAAAATTGAAAAAAGAAGTGAAGATAAAAAAATTAAGGAAAGAAAACGACAGTTAATCTATTTTTTAAATACTTGTTGACGATATTTAAATAATAATAATGTACATATTTATTGTAAATAACGTTTTTTTTTATTATTATTTGTTATAATTATAAAGTTTATTTTTATAAGTTCCGAAAATAATTGATAACTACTAATCTTCTATTATTAACTTGAAGCTAATGATTCGCTGATTCCACAAAAGTCAGCTACATCCAATAACTTGTTGCCTGTAGCAAAAAAATCTTAAAGTAAGCAACAATCTATTTGAAACAGGGATTGCAGAATTTCTAAAAAAAAATAATTATTAATTCTTCTACTGATAAAAACTAGGTGCTATACATATATAATACTTCCTCGTTCGTGGTTTGATGTCATTATCAATTTGTGCTAAAATGTGGTGAAAACACACATTCCTTTGATAATCGAAATCTTTTAATAAATTCATCAGTTTGACGGCGGACGTGGTCTATTCCGAATTCCTTTCGAAATCCATGATTTTTCCACGACCTTGGTTACGATTATATACTAAAATTATAAAGGTTTACCTTTGAAAAGTGTAATATACAAATACCAAGGTCATTTACGACCGAGACGTTACAATCGAGACCGTTAAACATAAATTGCGATTAAGCTGCGCACCAAATACTATCTAACACTTAATATCTTCAAGATATAATGAATAGAGCAGGTTTTAAATAGACTACCTCGGCCGCAAGCGACCTCGGTTATGATTATATACCAAAATTATAAAGATTTACCTTCGAAAAGTGTAATATACAGTAACCAAGGTCATTTAGGACCGAGACGTTACAATCGAGCCCGACAACCATAACCGCTACAGTTACTATTACACTAATACCATTTCAACACAATGCTGGTATCAAACAACCCACTGCCTCGGCCGCAAGCAACCTCGGCTTAATACACAATGACACTATAACATCGTAAGGCATCGACTGGTATCAAACAACCCACTGCCTCGGCCACAAGCGACATCGGCTTAATACGCAATATTAAGCCGAAGTCGCTTACTGCCGAGGCACTACATTTAATAACATTTCAACACAATGCTACAGTATCAAGCATGCCTCGGCCGGAAACGACTTTAGCTTCACACAGTGACAGCGGATATTAAGCCCAGGTCGCTTGCAGCCGAGGCGGTACCATTAACACCATTTCAACACAATGCTGGTGTCAAACAACCCACTGCCTCGGCCGCAAGCGACCTCGGCTTAATACGCGATGTCACTGTATTAAGCCGAGGTCGCTCATGGCCGAGGCTGTACAATTAATACCATTTCAACACAATGCTGGTGTCAAACAACCCACTGCCTCGGTCGCAAGCGACCTCGGCTTAAAATACAGTGGCATAGTGTATTAAGCAGAGGTCGCTTGCGGCTGAGGCGCTGTAATTAATACCACTTGAACACAATGCTGGTGTTAAACAACCCACTGCCTCGGCCGCAANAAGTGTAATATACAGTAACCAAGGTCATTTAGGACCGAGACGTTACAATCGAGCCCGACAACCATAACCGCTACAGTTACTATTACACTAATACCATTTCAACACAATGCTGGTATCAAACAACCCACTGCCTCGGCCGCAAGCAACCTCGGCTTAATACACAATGACACTATAACATCGTAAGGCATCGACTGCACATCGGCTTAATACGCGATATTAAGCCGAAGTCGCTTACTGCCGAGGCACTACATTTAATAACATTTCAACACAATGCTACAGTATCAAGCATGCCTCGGCCGGAAACGACTTTAGCTTCACACAGTGACAGCGGGTATTAAGCCCAGGTCGCTTGCAGCCGAGGCGGTACCATTAACACCATTTCAACACAATGCTGGTGTCAAACAACCCACTGCCTCGGCCGCAAGCGACCTCGGCTTAATACGCGATGTCACTGTATTAAGCCGAGGTCGCTCATGGCCGAGGCTGTACAATTAATACCATTTCAACACAATGCTGGTGTCAAACAACCCACTGCCTCGGTCGCAAGCGACCTCGGCTTAAAATACAGTGGCATAGTGTATTAAGCAGAGGTCGCTTGCGGCTGAGGCGCTGTAATTAATACCACTTCAACACAATGCTGGTGTTAAACAACCCACTGCCTCGGCCGCAAGCGACCTCGGCTTAATACGCGATGTCGCTGTATTAAGCCGAGGTCGTTTGTGGCCGAGGCGGTACAATTAACAATATTTCAACACAATGATGGTGTCAAACAACCCACTGCCTCGGCCGCAAGCGACCTCGGCTTAATACGCGATGTCACTGTATTAAGCCGAGGTCGCTTGCGGCCGAGGCTGTACAATTAATACCATTTCAACACAATGCTGGTGTCAAACAACCCACTGCCTCGGTCGCAAGCGACCTCGGCTTAAAATACAGTGACATAGTATATTAAGCCGAGGTTACTTGCGGCTGAGGCGCTGTAATTAACACAATTTCAACATAATGCTGGTGTTAAACAACCCACTGCCTCAGCCGCAAGCGACCTCGGCTTAATACAGTGACATCGTGTATTAAACCGAGGTCGCTTTCGGCCGAGGCGCTACCATTTCAACAGAATGCTGTAATTTGGTAATTCTACAAATTACAAGAAACGAAAAAATCATACAAAATATATTTTAATAATAGAAATTTCAAAACAATTTATTAATAGCAATAATATGTTATTAATACATTTGTTATAAAAAGTAAATCAAGTATCGATAAATAAAATAAATATTTCTCGAACTATTTTTTCACGCCAACCACTTCAAAACACCTATATAATTACACTACAAGTTGATATTACCACAATATCTTTATAAATTACACAACATAATCAACAAAATGTTATTGAAATATCTTCTTATTTCTGGCTTTATTTCCATTGTCGAGGTAATTTATTTTTTGTTATTAATATAATAATTATTTAAAACTTAATAATAGCCTACAGCTTTAAAAAAGTTAAACACGATTGACGAAATTTTCACCACCTACAAATCAGATATCACTGATATTAAGAACTCTTTGCAAGTCTTGATGGAAGAAAATTCTCAAATCGAAAAAAATCTTGCTTTGGCAAATTCAAAATTGTCGTACACAAAAGAAGAAACTGATAATCTGATTACTTCGGTAGATTTTATTATTCTTGGAATAAGTTTTAACTCGACCTCTACACACAATTGTGAAGAAATTGAGTTGTACAACGAATTACAAGATACCACAATGAATAACGTTACTAAATTCACTTTTAAATATTACGACAAACTTAATGTATTAACCGAGATCATTACAACTTTTAAAGCTATGCTGACAAGTTTGAATAATAACATTGCGTTTGTAGTCCCGAATTGTTGGCTACATAATTTATTACCATGGCAAAACGACCAACTTAATGAGTGTGTTAGAAAAAGATTCGATGAATTTCAAACTGAAATAAACAGAGTTAGTAATGAGAGTTATCACATTAATCTTGATTTGAACGTGATGATGAATTCTATGAGAGTGGACACTGTTGAAATTGTGACGTGGATGATTCAAGATATCGTTAAAATCGTTAATTATGTTAATGAATGTTATAATTCTCAATCTATTACTACAGAAGAAAACGTAATAACCACAACAGAAATAAATGTTTCAACTGAAGAAATTAATAATTAATAAGCATGTTTTTCTTTATTGATAGGTCATTGTAATTGATCGAGTTTTACAGACAATAAATATTAGCTTAACCTATTTTTTCAATTTCTTTATAATATTTACAAACCACTTCAAATCATCTATAAAAATCGATCGAACGTCTTAATCCATCAGTAACAATTTCTCCCTCACCGATTTAAAATGATTTTAAAAACTTTAATATTTCTCATTGCATTAAGCAGCATAAAGGTAATTTTTTATTAAAAATTTATATTTATTAATTAAAATAATAATTTAGGCCGCACCTTCTGACATAAACACCAAATGGATTTACGACGTCTTAAACAAATTCAATCCAGAAATAACAGAATTAAAAGTATCAATAGAAACTTTAGCGAATAAAACCACAGATAATGTAGTGATGTTATCTTCGGGGATGTTAAGAATAATCTTGGTTAGAAACGAATCTGATACTCTGATTGCTTCGTTAAAAAGCGTCGTTAAAACAACCATAGATGAAGCTACCCAAGAAAAAATAGAAATTGAAAGTTGCGTTGACGACGAATTAAAATCTCAAGAAAATTTAGAAATCAATTTAAACGAAAAAACCGAACAGATCGAGGCGAAATATAATTTATACTTCGAGGAATTTTTAGGCGAATCTATAAAAATTAAAAATCTTTTACCCGATTTAAATCGAAAAATTGATGAGTCACTTCGTAATTGTGCTTTGCATCATTTTTTACCGTGGCATGAAGATGAGTTAATCAATTGTATCAATCGAGATATTGAACAATCAAAATCTGAAATTTCAGAAATTAATTCCAATATTATTTCAATTATAACAAAAGCAGAAGAATTATTTGGTGAGATGGAAATCGACGTTGTAGAGATGACTAAAAATGTTTTGTTAGAGATGTTTGGAATTATCGAAACTCTTAAAGTGTGTATTGTTATGATTAAACCTGAAACAACTACTTTTGTTGAAAATTAAATCATCTTGAAATTAAATTATCGCTAAATTAAACCATATTTTAATCCCCACTTAAAATTATTTAACACAATAATGTAAACAATACATTTTATACATAATAAAAAGATAAGAAATGCATTGTAATTTCTATATTGTACCTTAACACGTGTATTTTAAATTAAAATTCGTTTTATAAACGTTTAAATAGTCCAAATAGAATAGATAAAAGTGATTAAAAATGAATTTAAATTTTGAAATGTAGTGCATTGTAAAATGGTGTTCAACTTACTATTAGTTTTATTATTGGTGATAAATAATCATTTTTATTGATATTATTATATTAAAATAAGTTTGTTTTATAGCTCAATGGAATCGTATTTTCTAAAGAAATCGAAGAAATAGGAATTAATTTAAATTTAAATAACGATTTAAGTGAGAAAATAAGAAATCTTAAACCATTATGGACAAATTTTCAATCTTTAAAAATAGCGTTTGAATCGCTTTTTTTTATACACTTGGACGAAGAAAATTTGGAGAAAGAAAAATGTTTTAAAAATGTTCATAATGAATCGATGAGAATTTCAAAAAAAATTAATACTTTACATAACGACTTAAAAGAAAGGATTTTATCATCAAAAAATGAAACATTAAAGTTAAACAAACTAACGGAATCTTTTCAGATTAATCGTATTCGATGTAGTGATCTTTTAAAAAACGAAAAAAAACAAGAGTGTTTAATTAAAATTATAGTAAATATTAAAAATGATTCGGAAGCGATTAAGAAAAGAATTAGCGATGATTTAAACGAAATTGAATCGGATATTATCGTGAATTCGAACAAGTTTTATTTAAATTTGGTGATGTTACATATTGAGTATCTTAATTGCATTTTATTCTCCAATTAAATTATTTTTAAAATTTATTTTCAATTATTTAATAGGAAAAATACAAATTACTAATTTTAAAGTTCCAGAAAAAAAATGAATTTGTACTTAGTGTGCTGATATTGCTTCTAATAACATAGAATTGCAAAAAAAGGGGTGTTGATTGTTGTTGGACGATCATTTTCTGTGTGAAATCAAAATCCAAGCTCAAAATTGGACCATCACGTCAGAATTTTGAGATATTTGAGGTTAGGTACAATAAAAATGGCTTTTGAAGGTGTATGCAGGTATGTAGTTTCATGTGGGGTGAATTCCTCCACACCACTTAGGCCCTACTGGGTTTAGCCTTTGCACATCCCCACAATTTACAGTTCATTCAGGGGTCAGAAAATCAGCCCAAGGTTTTAATGAACGAGATGTGTTCGCCAGTTTTATATAGAACATATGCTTATGTAACCTGCAGTGTCTGGTCAGGAAGTGGGTGAGGAGCCTCAAGTCATTTTTTGATTTTCCCAGAAACTGAGTTGATCTCTTCCGGTCATGGTAGAACAGAGTTTTCTTTGCAAATATACCTACTGCAGTCTCATCCCATCTGTTGCAAAAAGTTCGATGGGAGATAGAGTCGATCAGCTTTGATGCTATATTACTTACCCGACCGTTTTGCATGATCGTGTTCCTTATTTCCGGTATGTCCTTATCGTGACGTTCTAAATATTAGCCTCTTCAAGTGATTGCCGATAGGACTTCACTAATGATGATGTAGTTCGATGCCTACTAAGCGCTAGCATAGCCTGTCTACTATCATTGCAGATTACTCCGTTTCTGCAAACTTTTTTTAGAGTCGATGATCACATTAGCTGCTATATTCATAGCAGTTTCTAGCGAAATGGAAAGTTAGCTTTTGAAGTTATGTGTTATGTGTCTATTTCATCATATAGAACTATCCTTATCCTTCAAAATGCGCTCTCGAATTGTGCTGTACGATTTTTCCATTATAAGTTATTGCCATTTTTAAATAACGTAATGAGTTGGAACTCAGCATATGGATGTCACTTTTATGGAATCTCGTTTACTTGTGTTCCATAGATCTTGTGCCTCTTGTGTTGAGTATACGGCTCATCACTTTGAGGTGAATACTCGCCTAGCATAGATGCGGACATTTTCCCGGATACCGTTCTCCCATTTCTTTTATATAATGATGGAAATGCTGCTCTTGCTCTTAACATCACCTAAATGATCAGGAAATCAATGTAAATGAGATTGCAAATAGTGCAACTTCACGCTAATGTTACAAGCTAATTTTTTGAATATTTTTAGCATATCTGCGAGTAGGATCTTAGAATTGGCAGTTTAAATAGAAGCAAGTTACTTATATGTTTACTAAATCTCAACTCAGAGTCGACAATCAAGCCCAAGTTTCGCGCGTCAGTTACCACATTTACCATTTGACCATTGACACATATACCACTTTGAAGGATTGATCACAAGGCAGTGCCTAACCGCGAGCGTGATTAGGTCGTTCAGATCTTTATTTATATTATCCCGTGCAGTCAAAGCATCCGATTTAGAAAAGCTGTAATAGAGCTGCGTATCATAACCATACATATGAACATTACAGAACGAGATTCGGCTATACAAATTCGCAGTGTAAACAAGATAAAGTATTGGGCCCAAAATGGAACCCTGTGGCACTCCCGATATGATGCTACCTGGTCTAGATAATTTATCCTTAAAGTCAACTAATTGTAATTTGTCGCAGAAGTAGCTTCTAAACAAGCATATAGCTGCATCTGATAGACCAATGAAATGAAGAATTGAAAAGAGAGTTTCATGACGCAGTATATCAAAAGCTTTAGAGAAATCAAGTAGTACAAGCGCGGTGCTCCATCGCCCGAAAAATATCGTCGGTCACATCCAACAGAGCAGATGAGCAACTAAAGCCAGGCTTAAATCCAGACTGTTTGCTAGGAAGGATACTAAATCTGTCCAAGTGCTCTCTCAGTCTGGTAGCAATTATTCTTTCAAAAACCTTCGACAGAACAGGCAAAATACTTATAGGCCTAAGATCTTTCAAATGAGATGGGTTGTTGGTTTTGGCTAACGGAAGCACCAAAGCGACCTTCCAATCATCAGGAAAAACGGAATGTTCAATACAAAAGTTCAAAATATGACAGATAAAAAAAAATATATATATATAAATATATTGCTGTATATTTTTATTAAACGAAAAGTAGAACTAAAACTAGCCGTACAGCTTTTAAGATGGCTAAACCCGAATGTTTCTAGTTCTAGATCTAGTGTTAGTTCTAGTGCTAGTGTTAGTTATTATTTAATGTAATTGTAACATAACAAATGCAATTTAAAAATTAATAGAGTTCTCGTTATAAAATAAATTTAAATTCAACGAAAACCAAGTTTCAACCCCCTCATCAACCCCCGGTGAGTTTAAAAGCGAGAAGAAAAAAACCGGTACTTTCGATTTCTCCTACTAACGAAAAGCCGATCCGGTGCGTTACCAGTTTTAGTTCTCCACTCAATCGCAGTAAAATGCACCCCTTTCGTTCAACCGACACAACAAGCAAGTACCTACACAGACCGGTGCCCCTAACGGCGGATTGAAAAAAGGGGTTCCGCTGTGAGTTGCGACGCGGGAGGGAGGTTGGGGCCGCGGTAATCACCATCCGCGAACGACGGCATGTGCGTTTCCACCCCGTTCGCGCATTCACCGGATTCGAAGTCGGAAATCACGGGGGGTGAGCTTATTACAAATCGTACTCGCACGTGCCGCCGCCCCACCGAACGGAATAATTGTAGAAAAAGTGCCTACGCGCGACGACGAAAGGGGTGCAAAGCGAAAGCCGCCGCGGCCGGATATTTGCATGTTTGACGCATTTTTCTTTTTTTACTTCGGCTCTCGACCGCTCTTTGTAACGGGGGACACGTGTTGAATGAATCATATTGTACGGGGATGGTTGAATTAATTCTCAAATCCGCTCGTGGTGGTTCGTTACGCCCAGATGCTCACCTACAATATTTAAATTATTTTTATACATACTTATTTACACATTAAATTGTTAATTTTATTTAGACAATATTGTTAAAACTACTTATTGTTAGACTCTCTCAGTATGATCTATAAATAAGTCAAGTTTAAAATACTCCCAATACATATGGATTCACACCGAGATAAGAGACTTCAAAATTCTGCATATCTAACATCAAAGAAAATCCAATATCAGTAAATAAAAGAAATGGTTCAATAATTTTGCCAGATTAATTTTGAAACCGTTTTGTGGTTTGTTAGATAACCTTTTCTGACTTAAAAGATTAACGCAAAAAATTTAATACTCAGCAATCACCTGAAAAAATATTTTGAATCTTGATCCTAAACTGACCAGAATTTTTCGACAACCTTTCTAGCCTTACCAAGTCGGTAATTCAAGATCTTTTCATCATGCGTAATCGATTTTTGATTATTAAAAACTCATTTTTACCACATTGACTCAAAAGATGAATTATACAGATCTGCAATCATACGAGCTCAGAATTACACCATCTCAAAATCCTGACGTGATGGTCTATCACGTCAGGATTTTCAGATATCTGAGGTTATGCATAAAAAAATGGTGATGCAACCGTATACTCAACACAAGAGGCACAAGATCTATGGAACACAAGCAAACGAGATTCCATAAAAGTTAAATCCATATGCTGGGTTCCAACTCATTACGTCATTTAAAAATGGCAATAAATTATAATGGAAAAATCGTGCAGCACGATACGAGAGCGCATTTTGAAGGGTAAGGATAGCCCTATATGGTGAAATAGACACATAGCTACATAACTTCAAAAGCTAACTTTCCATTTCGCTAGGGTCGTACTGCACGACTGCTCAGCCCAAAATAACTGCTATGAATATAGCAACTAATGTGATCATCGACTCCAAAAAAAGTTTGCAGAAACGTAGTAATCTGCACTGATAGTAGACAGGCTATGCTAGCGCTTAGTAGGCATCGAACTACATCATCATTAGTGAAGTCCTATCGGCAATCACTTGAGGAGGCTAATACTTATAACAACGTCACGATAAAGTGGCGATAAGGACATACCACTACGAATAACCACTACGAACACAGTTTGTCATAAAAGATCAACGCAGAAAATTGAATACTCAGCAATCACCTGAAAAAATCTTCTGAATCTTGATCCTAAACTGGCCAAAAGATGAATTACACAGATCTGTAATCACACGAG